CAGACTTGAACGGAACTAGCGATGTCGGAGTCGATGCCTGGCCAAAAAACAGCTTGTCTCGCCCGGCGCTTCGTAGCTTCCACACCCCTTTGGCTGTCGTGCAGGTGGGCTAGGGTGCGGCAGCGGAGGGCGGCAGGAACCACAACTCTTGCTCCATACAAGACGAGGTCGCCATCAGCATAGAGGTCGTCCCGCATCTTCCAGTATGGGAGTAAAGAGCTGTGCAAGTCGTACCGGTTGGAGGGAAATCCCGAGGTCACGCAGTTCAGTAGGCGGATGTACGAAGGGTCCGCTCTTGCCGCGGCTCGGAGTTCCTGAAGAGTCCTGTCGGCGTCCTGCGGTGGAGACTCTTCTGAGATGACGGCGTTCACGGTCACTACGGTCCTGAGGTGTGCAGTAGCATCAGCACATGCGATCTCGTCCTCTGGTGTGGGGTGGCTGACTGGGGCTCGTGACAAAGCATCAGGGATGCAGAGCAGCTTGCCAGCACGCCACACAGCTGTGAAGAGGTAGGGCAAGATCTTCTCCTTAAGGCGTTGGAGGCGGGGATTCTTGACCGCATCCAAGGAGTAGTGGTTCAGGATCGGGATGAGTGGCCGATGATCCGTCATGAGGTTGAAGTGTTGTAGGCCGATCAGATACAACCTACATTTGGACATGGCCCAGACGGCGGCTAACAGCTCCAGTTCGATGGTGGCGTAGCGAGTCTCGGCGTCAGTGAGAAACCGAGAGCCACACTGAACCAGACGAAGGCGTCCATTGCCGTGGTCCTGTAGCAGAGCGTATCCAATCCCGTAGAGGCGAGAGGCATCAGTCTGGAGGACAACTGGCAGGGCCGGGTCGAAGGAAGTGAGAACAGGTGGGCTAAGGAGAGCTGTCTTGACGCGACGGAATGCCTCATCATGGTCAGCTGTCCAGGTGAATGTTCTCTTGGGGCTCATCAGGGGGCGTAGGGGCTGTGCTGCAGCGGCGATGTCGGGGGTGAACTCAGCCAACTGGTTTACCAGGCCCATGAACGAGCGGAGGTCGGTCAGGTTGGCAGGAGTTGGGAAGTCCCGGATCGCGCTGACCTTTCCAGGATCAGCCGAGATGCCCTTGCCTGAGAGGGTGTACCCACAGAAGTTCACACTAGGTGCGGCGACCACAAACTTATCCTTGTTGAGGGTGATCCCGTACTTGCGGCACCTGGTGAGCATCTGGTGAATACGCTCAAGATGCGTGGAGTAATCCTCGTCATATAGGAGCACGTCGTCGATGACCTTGACACAGTTCACCACACCCTGAAGGGCCATGTCACCACGGAGGCAGAAAGCATCGCCAGTAGCCGCGAAACCCATAGGTCCTCTGCAGTGCTGAAATCGGCCATACGGTGTGATGAACGTCGTGAGGTGCTGATCTTCTTCCGCAAGTTCCATCTGCCAGTACCCACATAAGGCATCTGCTGTAGTAAAGTACCTTGCCTTCGGGTCCACACTGCGTATAGCGGTGAAGGGTGTCGGTGAAGGGTGGGTCGGGCGGGAAACTTGGCTGTTCAGCTTGGTGAGGTTGACGGTGATACGAACTCCAGTAATGTTCTTGGCGACTGTTCCCATGGGGTGACACCAATCCGAGGGGTCATCACCAGCAGGCTTAATGATCCCCTGGGGTACCATAGAGTCGAGTTTCTTCTTAACTTGGCTCTGAAAAGCGAAGGGTATCTGTCTCGGTGTGTGGATGGCGAAAGGTACTGCGTCATCCTTCAGGTGAATTCTCATGGGGGAGCCAACCATTGGCTTGAGTGGAGCCGTCTTGAGGTCCTCCTTGGAAACCAGCACGTCCTTGAATTGCAGTAGGAAGAACTCCCTGGCTGCAGAAGGTGACGTATTGGGTGGGAGGGGCAGCTCCTTGCACCTGTTGACATGTTTTATTTCCAGAATTGGCTTAGGGAAGTCTGAAGATATTATGGCCAACTCTTGACAGTGGCCATAAGACAGTAGTGGCATCTGAACACCTTTGTGGACCTGAATCCTGGCAGAACATGACTGCTTACCTAGGGTGAGGGTAGCCTGAAATGTACCCAGAGCAGGTGCCATTGTAGAACCGTCTGCGGTGAGCGTTGTAGAAGTTGACGGTGGTTGCAAGCTGCTCCTAGGGATCCGCAGAATGTCGAGGTGTCTTGTGCCAATGACTGTGACGTCCGCACCTGTGTCAGGAAGCATCTGGATACGGGATGTAACGTCGCCGTATGACAGGTGAACACAGATGGGCTGAGGTGTCTTGCTGACAGGGGAAGAAGAGGATCCCACGCGACGACAGTGCTTGTTCTTCACCGCCTGAGACTTGCAAGTAGTATCATTCTTCTTCTTTGACTGACAGCATTTATCATAGTGTCCAATGCGGCTACAGGAGCGGCACTGAGCGTTGTTGGCAGGGCACTTCAGTGTCCTAGCCCAATGGCCACGACGGCCACAGTTATTGCAGGTGCTGTCAGCGGCAGAGCATTCAGAACCATGCCGACGAGCACAATACTGGCAGGAATGACCTGGCGTCGAAGTCTGAAGTGATGCTGAAGATTGATGCGAAGCTGAAGTCGGATGAAATGCAATGCCAAGTATTGCAGGTGCTGCCAGTGCAGGGCATTCAGAACCATGCCGACAGGGCAACAATACTGGCAGGGAATGACCCTGGCCGATGTCTGAAGTGATGCTGAAGATTGATGCGGCTGAAGTCGATGTAGCTGAAGTCCGGTCACGCCCTTGTTCTTCTTATATGGAGATGGCACACAGCTGGTTAGATGGACCACGAAGTCGACTGGTGGCTTCAGAGCGGCAGGTGACAACATCCTGTAGAGAAGAATTAGTTTTCACCAGTCCACGAGTTCCCAGGACAAACGTCAACCTCTCAGCGATTACAAACGACACCCTCCAGCTGCTTACAACTGAGAAGTTCTTCATGGAGAGCTTTCGTTGAGGCCCCTGATAGCTTCTCAAGCATCCAAGACGTCCTTCACACTCTTGTCTGTGTCGTGGGGAATTTGCAGGGTGCCCAGGATACGTGCCTCTAGGATGAGACACATCCTCATCTGGATCAGCTGTTTTCCCTCAGGCAACCTTGATAAATCGACCATCATCGAATAATCGTTCCCACCTCCGATGCCATTCACGGAATACCTGGACGGCATCAGCTTGAGTGGCGGACTCCTGAGCGAAGTGCTTTCTGTGGGGAGGGCAGTTGAAGAGGACCCTGCAGGTGCACCTGTGGACTAGTAGCTGCTTGAGTTAATGTGTCATAATCAATCTAGACGCCTGTGATCCTCTTCACGTCTTCGTTCATCGTCTTCCTGTCGCCTCCTGATGTCGTCTTGTCGTCGGTTTTCTTCCAAAAACTGAATTAAATGAAGGAAGTCGACACCTGTGGCAGATTGCGGACGTGTGTAGTGGGGGCTAAGGGTGGGTGGGGCCGCTTGATCCACTTTCCGATCCACTTGGAGTCCACTTACTGCACCGACATCCGTCTGAAGTTGGGCTTGTTGGGTATCTGAAGAAAACCCAATAAATTCCTGATCTTCCATATGGCCTGGTTTATTTCTCTCACAATTACTGTAATTAATAAGTGAGCAGAAGAGCAATCGTCTTTAAATGGAAGATATCTGCGAGCGTCTGTGTGTGTGTGTGTGCGTTCGTTCGTGCGTGTACTCGGGGTGGGCTGGCTAGCGCGCGTCAGTGCCAGTCGAGACATGAACGGGGTGGATGTCAAAACTTGAGCTCTCCCATAGGTCTTAAAAAGGCTTCCCTCTTTTGTAAAAAGTGCAGGAACACGGGGAAACACTTTAAAGACACTAAAGGGCACACACAACACTGAAAAAGCACTTCACAACACTGCACTGTAAATCCAGGAATATCGTGTTGAGGTACGCGCCGAGATCCACTCGACAAGAGAAGTTGACAAGATGGCGGCTCCGAGAGAGATTCCGTGTCCACTCCAATTCTGAATAATGTGATGTCCCAGCTAAACACTGCGCCATGTGGGAGACTCAGGTGGTCCTTACACTCAGGGGTAAAGGAAACACACTGATGTCAAGTCCGTAAGTTCTATTTCTGGTACAAACACAAAAAGGAGTTAAGACGGGTAAACAGCGTCCTGTCTTGGAATCTCTCTGGGTATCTCTCTGCGCGTACAGTGCGCATGTGCCCAAAGCCTGAACTAACACTCAGTGACAAGAGGGAGTATGATTATAAAACATATAATACAGAGACCTGAATCAATAATGGTAAATAGTACAGAGTTACATATTACAGCCATATTCGTCTCATATATCTACACTCACCATCACCTACTGGGTCCTCCTCCCCACCACCACCACCTACTGGGTCCTCCTCCCCATCACCACCTACTGGGTCCTCCTCCCCACCACCACCTACTGGGTCCCTCCTCCCCATCACTACTCCACCCACTGGGTCCTCCTCCTCCCCACCACCACCTACTGGGTCCTCCTCCCACACACTCACCTTCACTGGGTCGCCCTCTCACCATCACCACACCTGGCTCCTCCCACCACCATCACCTCCACTGGCTCCTCCCACCACCATCACTCACTGGGTCCCTCCTCCCACCACCCATTGTGGGGTCCCTCCTCCTCCATCACCACCTACTGGGTCCCTTCCCTACCACCACCACTGAATCCTCCCCCACTCACCACCTGCCAAGCCCCCACCACCACCCACTGGCTCCCACCACCACCACCTGCCCCCTCCACATATTCACTTTAAACACTCCATCACAACAAAATAAAGGAAGGTAAGAGATTTATCTTTTGATTTTTTATGCTTTTGCTTCATATCTTTAATTTTGTAAGAATATACTGTACTATGTTTTACAAGTTTGTTTTTCTTGTTTAAGTACAGTACAGGACAGTAGTGTACTGTACTGTACTGTACAGTGGTAGCCAGGTTTCCCCTTACTGTAGCCACAGTTTATGGGTTAAGAATCATCCATATATATTTTTTTATTATTTCAGAAAGTTGTCACTCAGACAATGGTCAGTTGACACATGTACAACAACAGCTGAGCAGTTGCCTGGAACAAGTATCTAAATTGGAACAAAATATTGAGGTATGCAATACTGTATATAATGTGGTCCCTCGGTTAACGAACTTAATTCATTCCAGAGGGTCATTCGTTAACCGAAACCATTGTTTCAATGGGATATTGGGTAATTGGTTCCAGCTCACAGAAAAGTATATACAAAGTAAAGCCAAAAATGCATAAAGTCAGAAACACTCCTAAAATTTCTAAATTATTATATTGTAGAGAGATATACATTATATATATATTTATATATATATATATATATATATATATATATATATATATATATATATATATATATATATATATATATATATATATATATATATATATATATATATATATATATATATATATATATACATATTTCCCATTAGCTCAACAAAGCACGCGAGACTTCATACAATAACACCTCAACCACAGATTCAACCCACGCCCATGTTTATGACTGTGACCAGAACGCTAACTTTTGACCACCAGGATACTAAAAGTCCTAGACTCATTATATTTTACATAAAGTTTCCAGCCCAATCTAGCTTATATGCCAGAACCTCTAATGGGGACCACCCGTATCACGTAGGTGGTCAGAGTAACGTTTTACCAAATCCGGCTTCGAAACACGAGGATCCATATATATTTCATTAGGCCAATAAAGCACGCGGACTTCTACATACAATCAACACCTCAACCCGCCAGGATTCGAACCCACGGCCCACAAGCCTATGACTGTGACCGGGGAACGCTAACCGCTGGACCACCAGGATATTAAAAGCAGTCCTAGACTTTGTTATATTTACAGCCTGTATATACATATAATAGCCCGTCTTTAACATACGCTGCCACGAATAGAGATACCCGTGGATGTTAAAAATCCCCGTATATGTGCTGCCCCCCCCCCCCCAAAAAAAACCTGGTCCCCCCATGTCCTTATTTACCGTATATACCTGTGTGTAGTTCAAGTTTTTAAGACCAAATTATTTGGCAAAAAATTGGGGGTCGACCTCTAAACGGGTAATAGTTTCGTTAAGTTGAAAAATATTTACCAGTAACTACCAGTAAACACTGGAAACGACGCACCAACGCACCACCAGCTGTGAGTGTCGGTACAGTTGCCTGGGCAGACCTCTTGCGTCATCATAGCAAGCCCAAAGTAGCCAAATGCATGGTATGGTAGCACAGGACGATGTAAGACAAAGTATTCATTTATTAAAGTTTATTTATAGATACTGTACATACAATTTTGTTCATTACATTTGAAACATCAATCTTTGTTAATTAAATTTGAAACAAAAGAAAACTACGATACCGTATTTTCATTAAAATATTACATTACAAGTATATTTTACCTTAACTGTGACTGAATGAATGTAGGTATTCTCAGAAATAAATATGGAAATATAATATTTTTGCTGGAATGACGTACAGTAGAAGTCCAAAAATCTGGACTGCTTGGGGATTGGGTCGGTCCGGATTTTCGGATTTTCCGGATTCTCAGGCAGTACTTTTAAAATTAAAATTTAAGGAGGAATAAAGAAGAGATGAACAGGTACATTTTGATAGTTTATTCATTAGCAAATAAAGCATGCTTCATTTATCAAAACGAGCAGTTTTAAAGAAAAATAAAGTCAACACTAAACAAAAATGTAAACAAACTGTCTAATACCATGACGAGTCTTGAAATTCCTAAGCCATCCATCACTAAATGCGCACTCTGATTCAATGTTCATTTGCTCCTTAAAAGACTTTGCTTTGGCAATAAGCATCGGCCCAGAAATTGCCATACCTTCTGATCGTTTTAACAAAAACCATTCGTGCAAAGATTTTCTAATTTGGGCCAATGTAAACTTTTTCTTTCAGCAATTTTAATGTAAGGCTCAGAAGAAGCTGTGAATTCTAGAATTTTTTTCTTTGCCTTTTTTATATCATAAATTGTGGACTTTCCAATGTTGTATGTTTCCATTAGAACAGCATTGCTCACATTACATTCTAGTTTCTTAATTATTTCAAGTTTGTCACTCAATTTCAATGTGTTCTTCTTTCTCTTCACACAACGAAGTTTATCTACTTTAGGGGCCATTATTATGGGCTTGTACTCTGTACATGGAAAGAGTAGGACTCAAAATTACATACGTTGTCACAGTTTGATTGCTTGTTTTAAAGTGGCGATCGTGTGGTTGTTTGTTGTCGCTGTGCAGCTGTGGCATTCACGCATGCACACAAAAGATTTTTAGTGCCTCAAATTTTACATTTCAGTTCAAGCTAATTACAAAACTAACAAAATTAGCTACCTATAATTTACAATTACTTTTATTATTAGAATTATGTAATTAATTTTTTAAAGCAACTCCATTCATTCACATAACCCACAAAAGCCCGCTAAATTTAAAAAGTTGAGTTTTCGAAAAGTCCGGATTCTCGGGTGGTCCGGATTTTTGGACTTTTACTGTACATATTACAGTGGAAAGACGAAAACAATGACTTTCGCTTTCTTTCGTTATTCAAAAGGTTTTACCGTAATCGCTTTTCGAATGGTTTTCAGTTAAAAAACTGTTGTACTCGTACTGTATTACAATAATATTCTATCCTATAATTAGCCTTATACAGTATTACCCCGCCTAACGCGGTTTCACTTAGCGCGTTTTACCGTATACGCGGTGCCTCGCCAGAGCTGAACTTTCACTTAACACGGGTTTTTTCCACATATACGCGGTGAGTGTCCGGCTCGAGACGCTATTTTTAGATTTGCCCCACCCGCCACCCTGCCAGACTGCCTGTTTTAGCTCATAAAATTCATACAAATTACCCGGTCAGAATATAATTTACATTGCTGGAATTCTTACAATTTGGTGATCATTTTGAATATAAACATCATATATTTTGCATTAGACATACAAATTTTAGATAAAATGTTTACTCTGAGTAAATATGTTATCTTTTGTGCAAAATATATGACATTTATATTCAAAATATTCCTGGTCTTACAAGGAATCCAGCAATGTCAATTATATTATCCTAACTTTAGTTTGAGGTATTATTTATTACTTTCAAAAAGCTAAATATTCTGGCTTTTCCCACATCTCCTGGGACGCTGGGGTGGGGAGGGATCACCATCTGTTACCCTGTGAAGAATATTATTATTTTTTTATTAACTGAAGATATTTGTTTTAGCTCATAAAATTCATACAAATTACCCGGCCAGAATATAATTTACATTGCCGGAATTCTTATAATGTGATGATCATTTTGAATATAAACATCATAGATTTTGCATTAGACATACAAATTTTAGATAAAATGTTTACTCTGAGTAAATATGTTCTCTTGTGTGCAAAATATATGACATTTATATTCAAAATATTCCTGGTCTTACAAGGAATCCAGCAATGTCAATTATATTATCCTAACTTTAATCTGAGGTATTATTTAATACAAAATGTTAAAATTTAGTTTTTTCACCCAACCTTTTCTTGAAGGGAGGATTGGTGAAATTGAGGTTGGACTGACCCCTTGTTGATTTGGAAGAGGCAAGGTGGGGTACTTTGATTGACAGATAATTAATCTTGAAATATTTTTTTTTTATTAACTGAAGATACAGTATATACTCGTCTAACCCCCCTTAGGTATATTGAGTGGGCCAGTTTTTATGACCAAGAAATCGTTCAATTTATGATATTCCTCGTTTATAGATTAGGCCCAAGTTTTTTGAGGGTAAAGGAACATAAAACCTTCAGAGAAACACTACGTCCTATAAACATTTTACCATTTATTATTACGACACTTTACGCAAGCCCTTGGTTTCAACAAAATATTGTATATTTCCATTCAAAAGTATTTATTCCAAGTCAATTGGGAGAATATTATTGTAATACAACGGTTTTTAACTAAACCATTCGCGAAAAGTGATTACGGTAACATCTTTTTGAGCAGGAAACAAGCCAAAGTCATTGTTTTCGTCACGATTTTATCCACTTTCCACTGTATCGTACGTCATTTCAGCAAAAAATATTACATTTCCGTGAATGTATTATATCAAGCACGAAACAGATAGGGCATATCATTGTGGCCTCTTAAATTTTAACCCGAAAACGATTAAAAGAGCAAGATAACATCTCAAAGAACATCGGAAGCTTAGGTAAAAGTCTTTTTGTTTTCGACATATATTTTATCCTATTTTACATTGAAATACATCACGTTTCGCTAAAACTACTATTATTTCCGGGAATATATTCATTCAGGCGCAGTTTAGGTAAAAATATACGTGTGATGTAATAGTTTTTAACTGAAAACGATTCGAAAAACACGTGTACCCTCTAGCCCTGTTCAAGGAGGACTGGGAGAAAGCATTTTGGTGTTGAAGACGATGACAAGGAAAATGATTTTTGATGGATTTTAATGAAAATATTCAGAAGCTGTTATCATATCTTTATTCAAGTCAATTAGGATATTATTGTAATACTAATACAACAGTTTTTTAACTAAACCATTCAGCGAAAGTGATTGCGGTAACATCTTTGAACGAAAACAAAGCGAAAGTCATTGTTTTTCATCACAATTTTATCACTTTCCACTGTAATACGTATGTCATTTCAGCAAAAATATTACATTTCCGTGAAGATATATCAACCACAGTATGAATAGAAATCACTAATATAACAGTATTTTAACGAAAACTATTAAAAATGCGAGCTATATCTTTGAACATCAGGTTAGGTGAAGCTTTTTGTTTTTCTGCATATGGTTATCTAATTTACATTGAAACCATTACATTTCCAGCAAAACTACTATTTGCTACGAAATATGGAAATGTAATATTTTTGCTGAAAATAACATGCATATATTATAAAATGAAAGTGAATAAAACAAAAGCTAATGACTACGCTCTTTAAATTCAAAAGACGTAACTGTAGATAGTTTTAGATAAACTGTTATATTACAATAATATTCTATCCTAATTCACTTGTGATGTAAAGATTTTTTAACTGAAAGCGATTAGAAAAACACGTGAACCGTCTAGCTTCAATACG